TTATTTGCAACCTGTGGAAGAAGTTCCTTGATTTTCTCCTTTAAGTATGTATGAAGCTTGAACGCATCTTCACTCAGCGGCAACATTTTTAGGGAGTTGTATTTTTTCGCGCTCAATGTTTGTCTGGCACGTGAGGAAACGAGATCACTCCAATCCAAATCGTACAACTGTATAAAATCAGAACCATTCTCTTGTTTTGTCGGCCTCAATGATTCCATCTGATCTGTAAATCCCGGCACATCTTTGGAGACTTTAGTATACTTTGTTTAGGCATGCCATATATACTGGGATTCATTTCTGTTCAAATCCAGTGTCAACTCCCTGTTGATCTTTCCTACACAGTTTTCTCAGCAACTGCTACAAGAGGCTTGAAATTTTCGCACAATCTTTGCTTAGGCATGCCAAATGGTGGTATTCATTTTTGTATGAATTTGATGACAACATCAGAGTGTATATTTACATCACAGCGGGAGTATTACTAGTGAGCATCCGCTCACAGACTTCTTGTTGTATATTCTTTTAATCATATATTTTACTACATGTCTAAGAAGCATTATTTAGGTTTCCAGGCAATAGCCAACTTTGTAAAAAACATACAATAGGTTATTAATAAGTACACATAAAAAACTTGCAATATATTTATTTATCAACATAATACATCGACAAGGTCTTCATGCAAAAGATCAGGCTTATTTTAGAATGTGCAGCTCTTGTTAAATTGTGAACAGTCAATTTTTCCTTTCAACAACTAGACAAACAAGGGATTTCTCTGCTGTCCCACTCATTTTGGTGAAGAGTGTTATCTTTATGTCCCCTTTCGGTCTTCTTTTACGTTTATTTGCATTCCAAGCCGAAACAAAATCCTCAACTCTCCTTGGAGGATGGACATAATGAAAGCATGCAATGATATACGTTGTGCAGTTTTGCCTTAGAGATTCCAAGTACTGAGGCACAAGCCTCCTCCAACATCTTTATAATTAATAAGAAAACTGACCAGTCAGCAAGGGCCCCGCCGAGGGGTAGAAATATAAAGTGCAGCTTACGGAATGAGAATTTTACGTGATTACAAAAATTTAAAAATATATGAAGAAGAATAAGCAACAGCAACTGTAATCCTAAACTTTCAAGTTAATTCCTAAATACCCCCCCCCCCCCAAAATGTAAATAGTATCCATGTATTTACATAAGGCAGTAACAAACATCATATCTTATTGTAACTCAACAAGAGCACCGCTAAGCGGAGCATCCCCTCGCGCCAGGAACTTCACCAGTAATGGCAATGTCTCCATACGAGAGAAAAATTCTCAAGAGGGACTTTAAACAAAATACAATCATCAAGCCCTAATAATCAACGGTACCCAGTATCCCTATGTAAAGTTTAAAATAAGGTAAAGAAATTAAAATATATTGCAACACTAATTAAATTTTAACAAAAGTCAAGGTGGATATCCTCGGGGGTGGGTGGGGGTTGCGTCATAAGCATACGTGATTGGGCAGTTTCCCTTATTCCTAGCAGAAACATATCACGTATGCTTTAAATTTCATTAATTTTCCTACCTGAGTAAACCTCACAGTAGCATGCAATATGCATCAAATCTGAAAATACGCACGGAAGTAATATATTTTGTAGTGAAAAATGACAATATACTGGTGTTGAGATGTCAATGACACTTGTGAAACTTTATATTTATCATTGTTTATAACTTTCAAGAATTACGTGCGCCTCAGGCCCCTATTGTAAACACACACACGTGTGGCAATTTGGTATTGAAACCGCGACGTTCATCAAATTATTTCAGTTACTCTGTGACAGAGATGACACTTTTAATTCATAAAAACTTTCTCAAATACGCACAATAAAATGACAATACGCGAATACAAAGTAGAACTTACAGAAGCGGCTCTATCGAAAAGACCCGAAATTTAACATGTTAAATTTACCAGAAGTGAGTATTGTCAACTCGTACATAAAATTGCAGGGTTTGAAGGTAGTAAAAACGCGATATTTTAAGAACTATTTCACCGCTTAACTTGAAAATGAATAGGGTTCGTCCTTTTACAATGCCACATAAGTATGTGAAGGCTGAAAAATGATAGTGCAAAGATTCTCTTTAAATCTTGCCCACAAGCTGTAACGGACACACTAACACACACACATACGCACAGTAGCGATGCTATATCCCCTCCGCAACTAGTTGCGCGAGGGGATAATTAAAGTATATAATTAAACAAGAATGAAGCATTTGTTTTATAACTATCACACACTTGAACTTAAGTTCAAAAGAAACATGCATCAGTTACAGACAAAGGTGTCAATTAATCTTACAGTGATAGATATGGATAAGCCCCTAAATTTTCTGCAGCAAACAAGATAATAAATTCAGAGGGATTTATTGAACACTTCTCTCATCCTTTTCTTCTAAGTTTACAATGAAATATATGGAGATAACGAACAGTATTCAAGTTCAAAAGTACATTAAACATTACAAAATAGGTGCAGAGCAAACATGGACATCCAAAACATCAGAGGTGGGATCAGGTGCCATGGAGGAGTGAGCATCCCCTGCCGACCGGTCACACCCGCCGTGTGGTCCTTGTCATGATCGGGAAATAACGGAAAAATTCGTCGACAATTCAAGTTGATATAATAAGAACTTTTCAGCAATGATATAAGGAGGCTATTATCCGTCTACCGGTTAAATTTAATAGTGTTTTTGAATTTACAGAAGGCTACAAATAAATATATAAATTAATGTATAAAATATATCTTTATCTTGCTTCTAGAATTCAATAAAATGAGAACTCATTGCGTATTTTAACCAAACTGAAATATGAAAGTAGTATAAGGCGCCTAGCTGGCTGGGTTAACTGAGTGCACTTTTTGGCCCCTGGGGGGATGGCTGGGTCAACTCAGTGCACCCCCGGGGTCAAGGTCAGAGATCTGGAAAAACCCGCACGCGCTCAGCACGTTCTGAGATCTGGAAATTCCTGAGATGTGAGATCTGGAAAAAACCTACACGCGCTCAGCGCGTTCTTACCTGCACGTGCTCAGCACTCACCTGGAAAAACCTAGCCATTATGACGTCATACACTGTATAAGTATTGCATGTGTCTGACTTGAAGCTCATTCTGTTGTCAGTTCCATCAGCTGTTGACATGGATTCTGCTATGAAAAAACTGTTACAAGCCCAGCAACTGATGAGATGGAGAAGACGGGCGAAAGAGTTAGAAAGAATTATTTACAACAATAAACACAGAGAATTAGCACTCAGAAAAAGAAATGCGAGAATATTAGAGAGAATGCAGAGAGCCCAACCCCAACAAGAACAACAAAGGACTGTGTCGGATGAAGAACCACACTCGCCAGCCCATTCACCACCCCAGAAGCCAAAGGCCATTTCTCAATATTATCAAGTGAGACTGAATCAAGCCAAGCATTCCAGAAAATTTAAAGCGCATGAAGATTTTTACAGTGTGAATTTTAAGGAATTTCCAGAGGAGGAAAACAGAGGATTTGTTCGGCGATTATTTAGAGACATCCTGCAAAATGTCAAATATCAAATGCAGTGTAATCCTAACGATTACCTACGCCTGAGCATACGCCATCCTTCCCTGAAATCCGACATTTGGTACGAGTTTACGCAATGTAAACATTTAAACGAAGACGTCATTTTAGACAAAATAGAAGCCGTTCAACAATCCAACCAGGATTTTAAACTGGGAGACGGGGCCATGGAATTCGACATGTTTCGGGTCAAGTATCCAGAGGGGAGTGGTGGAGACAAAACCAAACACCTGATGGTGAATAAGGAGAGTTTTAAAAAGAATAAACAATCCATCGTTCAGATCAACAATCCCTGGGATAAATTTTGTTTAGCTCGAGCCATCGTAGTCACCCGGTTACACAGTCAAAAACCTGAACATCCAGACCCCGAATGGGAAAAACGATGGAAACGCATGAGACTAGGAGATACTCAATCATTAAATCAGAAACGAGAAGCTATAAGCCTCATGGAACAAGCCGGCTGTGATATCCATCGGCCTTGTGGACCCGAAGAATGGGGAAAATTACAACAAGTGTTAACCCCTCGCTATCGATTGAAAATATTCCAGTTCAAGTCCACCTCCTCTAAACTCAGTTTAGAACCCCTTTACAAAGGCTGCGGAGATGGAACTTGTTTAAACATTTTGTTAGATGACCATCATTACGATGCCATACTGTCTATGCCTGGTGTGACGGGCAATCAATATTATTGTGATCATTGCGATGTGGGCTACAGTCATATTGAACACCATCGTACCCAGTGTCCTCACCGATGTAATTTTTGTTTAACTAACACTCCTTGCCCTCCAGACGGGAGCCACATTCAATGTAGCCAGTGTCAGGGATTTTTTAAGAGTAGAACTTGCTACGAAAATCATCTACAGCCTCACAGTAACAATACGGCCACCACGGTATGCAGTTTAATGGGATGATGTAGGCACTGTCAGAAATGGATGCCTAAAAAATTACTCCCTCATCATCATTGCGGAGGACAGAAACAATGTAAGATCTGTAAGAAAACCGTAGACACGGATCATCAGTGCTACGTTCAACTCAAGCCTGAGAAAAAGAAAAAGAAAGGCAAAGAGACCTTACAGTTCTACATCTATTTCGATTTCGAATGTACGCAGGAAACCGGCATCCACGTCCCTAACCTGTGTGTGGCACACCGCGTATGTCAACATTGCGACGGACAGTTCATTTTAAATTACCTGGTTCATTCCGCCTGCCTGAAACCTACCGTCATCATGAACGGCAGTAAAATCTTATCTATGCAAATCTGTGGACTGAAATTCATCGACTCTTATAATTTTTTACCTTTTGCCCTGTCCAAGATGCCCTCTGCTTTCGGATTCACCGAACTGAAGAAAGGATATTTTCCACAATTTTTTAATACGGAACACAACCAGAATTACGTGGGCCTTATCCACCGGCACCTTTCTACAATCCGGACGACATGTCTATAAGTGGACGACAGGCTTTTTACCAATGGTACGAACAACAAGCCGGAAAAGTGTTTGATTTCCAGAAGGAATTTTTGGACTATTGTGTCTCGGACGTCGATATTTTACGACGATGTTGTGCTCAGTTTAGAGCCACCCTCAAGAGCTTGGTCCATGTAGACCCCTTCCAGGAATCCATCACTTTTGCCAGTGCCGCCAATTTAGCTTACCGTCGAGGATTCATGCCCAGAGAGACCATTGCCATCGTTCCCAACCTGGGGTATCAGCCTGCACGTCGATATTCCGCCAAAGCCTGTCGGTGGTTAAGCTGGATGAGTCAGCAGAGCGGACATAACATACGGCATGCAAGAAACGGGGGAGAAGTCAAGATCGGAAGTTATACCGTCGACGGATATCAAGAAGCCACTCACACCGTGTGCGAATTTTACGGATGCTATTGGCACGGATGCCCCACTTGCTATCCGAATTTACAGACCGAAAGTCATCCTCACCGGACCCAATTTACCTATGAACAATTACACGAGGAAACTTTAAGAAGGAGTTCTGTTTTAGAGGAAATGGGGTACTCCCTCCTTAGCATCTGGGAGCACGAATTCGATCAAGAAGTGCAAAGAGAGGTAACTCTACAGAATAATGTACGAGAACTGGACATTTCAGATCCTTTGAACCCCCGAGACGCCCTGTACGCAGGCCGGACTAATGCGACTAAATTATATTGTGAGGAGGGGGACATGAGATACGTGGACGTCTGTTCCTTATACCCTTACGTATTAAAACACAGACCTTTTCCCCAAGGCCATCCTCAGATCATAACAGACGACTTCCAGAACGTGAGAACTTATTTCGGCCTCATTCACTGTCGGGTCCTACCACCCCGAGACCTCTGTCATCCCCTTTTACCTTATCGCACGGGAGGCAAGTTATTATTTCCCTTATGTCGAACGTGTGCGGAACGACAGGACTCTACCTCTAAACATCGATGTCAACACGCAGACCAGGAACGCAGTCTTACGGGTACCTGGGTGACTACAGAATTACATAAAGCCCTAGACATGGGATATACCTTAGAGCGGATTTACGAAGTTTGGCATTTTCCAGAAAGCAGTCAAGATTTATTCAGACCTTACAGCGATACCTTCTTAAAGATCAAACAGGAAGCTTCTGGATTCCCACCTGATTGTCAGACGGAGGAACAGAAACTAGATTACATTCGTAAAGTCTTAGAAAGAGAAGGGATCAGGATGGACCTGTTAAGTATAGAAAAAAAATCCGGTGCGAAGAACCATAGCCAAACTCTTTTTAAATTGCTTGTGGGGAAAATTCGCTCAACGCCTGTTATTACCTAAAACTCGATACTTGACCGAAGAAGAGGAATTACAGCAACTCTTACAAGATTCGACCATTGACATCAAAGGGATAGAACTCTTAGAAAATAAAGAGCAGCCAGAATCGGACATGATGCTGGTCAATTATCAAGAGAAACAGGAATTTGTAGAAGAGTGTCCCTTCGGAAACGTGGTACTGGCCTGTTTCACTACAGCCCATGCCCGATTACACCTCTACGAGACTTTACAACCTTTAGGAGATCGGGTGCTTTATTTCGACACGGACAGTATCATATACCAACATAAGGAGGGACAATTTAATCCTACCCTTGGCAACAGTTTAGGAGAATGGACCGACGAATTAGACGGGGACCACATTATCAAATTCATGTCAGGAGGCCCCAAAAATTATGCTTACCTCACAGCCAAGGGAAATTCCATGTGTAAAGTCAAAGGATTGACTCTTAATTATCGGGCCTCTCAGATCGTGTCACCAGAGACTTTAGAAAAAATGCTCAAGAAGAAATTGATGAAATCCAAGTCTCGTATCCCTACAAAATACAGAGGACTCGTCAACATGAAGTCAAGACAATACCTTTAGAAAACAATACAGAATTGTCTATGATAAGAGACAATTGATCGAAGATTATAACACTTTACCTTATGGTTATTAAAAAAAAAAAACTGTATTTCAAATGTGTTGTTATTTTATGGGGAAAACCCCCAAAAATGAAGGGTTATAAAAAGGGGGGGGGGAATATTTTAACACTTCAGTCATGGCTGGTGTTGATAAGGAGCCAGACTACCTTCCTGTTTACCCTAACTATGCTCTGCTCTTAAAGAGAGAAGCTACCTTTAAAGATGGATGGCCCCAGTCTTTAAAGGGATTATTACCCAACCTAGCCAAAGCCGGATTTTATTACAGAGGAGTGAGTGATAAGACCATCTGTTTTCATTGTGGTATGACTTTAAACTGCTGGGAACCTACAGACGATCCTTATGTAGAACATGCTTATTGGAACCCTAATTGTCCTTACATCAATACCTATAAAGGACGTGATCATTTATCATTATACAGTCGTCATGGGTCGACCTCTCTCAGCCAAGAGTAAATTAGTGAAAACGTTACGACGTTTACAGCGGGAACGAGATCCTGCCAAGCGAGCCCATTTAATCGAATTAGGGCGTAAAGCCTTATTGAATTGGTTTGCTATGGGAGCTCGAAATTTGATACGTGGGGTCTTACCTATTAATAAACAGATTCAAAAGTTTATTAATAATCATCGTCAAGATTTAAGCATCATAGCCGATAAGTCGGCGAGTGATCAAGACAGGAAAAATGCCATTTTAAAGCGTGGAGAAGCCGGATTTCTAGGAGGAGTGATCATTCGTCATTTATTCAAGTGGAATGCACCTAAGAAACGACGTGTTCGTCGTTTGAAAAGTGTGGTAGTGCGAGTCGATAATAAGAAACAAAGAGTGTTTCCAGATTGAATGGTCCGAGTAGGAGGAGCAGCTCAAAAGAGCAGAAAGAAGAGAAAACCTCCTAAGAGAAAACCTGCTGCTGCTAAGAGAAAAGCCCCTGGTGGTAGAAAGAAAAAAACTACTCCAAAAACTCCAGCTCAACGAAAAGCCATGCCTGAAAGTCTGAAAAACGAAATCAATCAGTATTATAAGGAACAAAGACAAAAAACTATTGGGGAGTTATTAAAGAAACAAGCTGAAATGAGAATGGATCGTCCTATGGGGCCCATAGGCAGTCAAAGAGCTACCGATTTAGAAGTGTTTCCTCGAGTCAATGTGGGAATTCCCTCTCTTAGAATTAAAGTCCCCATTCACACTCCTAAAATAGCACGCTTTCAACCTCTGACCGCCTCTACACCTCCACTTCCTAAAGGAATGAGATATAAATGCCGGTATTGTTCCAAAATCTACGTCACCCAGAAAAATAGAGACAAACACGAGAAGGACAAACACGACATGTATGCTCCTCTTTGACAGTATAAAAGGGGGAGAAACCTGGGACATGTCCTCATTTTAACCCCATGATGGCTAAGAAGAAGAAAAGAAGGACTTGCTGTTCTACACGATTAAAACCTCATTGGCCTCTTTTAAGAGTGTTATCTGACCCTCACTATTCCTCTCCATTAAAAACGGGTATTTTAAAACATTGTTCTGGAGATTGTATTCTCAAAATCTGCGAGATCGTGTACAACCTATTAAAAGGAGTGTTACCTCTCAGTTCGGCTCATAAACGAAAACTAGCTCCTAAGAAACACATCTTCAGGAGACTGGTCAAACCTCAATCTGTCCAGAGACGACGAGCTTTGTTAGTCCAGCAAAAAGGAGGCTTCTTCCCTCTTTTAGCAGCAGCCGCTCCTTTACTTTTTGGAGCAGCTTCTTCCCTCCTAGGAAAATGAGTCATAAAATGGTATTAGTCCCCGAGGTCCTGTTGAACGATCTCAAAGCAAAATTACCCAAACCTCCGGAATTTCAATCAACCATCAGTTTAGGTCAGGAATTGGACGAGATTACAAAACGTGAAGATTTAACCCCAGAAGAAGAAGTCGCTTTATATGGCCAGGAACTTCATCGATATAGGAATTATTTACAACAAGCTAGACAGGAACCTATTTCTAAACCGAAAATTCCTGCAGCAGCTCCAGCAGCAGGAGCAGCTCCAGCCCCAACAGCAGCAGCAGCATCACCAGCAGCCCCAGGAGAGATTGAAGATGAAATCCTTGAAACAGTGAATAAAAACATGAAAAGAAAAGCTGGATTATTATTAAATCATTTAAAGAAAACCAAGGTGTTGAGTTGGAATAAAGAAGGTGAAATTAGTTATCGAGGTCAAAAAGTTCCCGATTCTAACATTGTGGATTTAATGGCTGATAGTATGAGATCTCGTTCTCGTAAAAACCATCCCCTTCCTAAAGGATTAGATGAATTTGCTCAAGCTTTAAAAGAGACGCGTACTCCTCTGGAATACGTGAGCAATGGAAACCTTATAAAAGCCATGCAGAGACCTGGAAAAATCAGTACTCCTAAAAGTATCTTCAGTGATAGTGAGGACGAGGGCGATAGTGGATTTAAAGATGCTTCTTCATTTTTGACCCCTGTTAGTAGACCTGTAGGAAATAGAGGAATAAAAAAAATCCACTCCTAGACCTCTGTTAAATTTAGCGAAGGCCATCAAAAAATCTAAATTCAGTCTAACTTTACCTAAAAAGAGATTAGAACAAATCGACGAAAATTGGCTTCAATTACCTAAGATTTGAAAAAGAAACAAGTGGAAGACATTTTAAAAGAGATTTATTATGATCCTAAAAGAGGGTACGGAGGAATACAAGCTTTGTATCGTCAGGTCAGAAGTCTTGAACATAAGATTTTCTTAAAAAGGATACGAGAATGGTTAAAAGAGCAAGATGCGTATACCTTACATAAACCCATTCAAAGAAAATTCCGGAGACAACAGACTAGAGTGACTGATATAGACGAACAATGGCAATTAGATTTAGCAGATGTGTCCAGTTTAAAGAAACACAATGATGGATATACGTTTTTATTATGTGCCATTGACGTCTTATCTAAATATGCCTGGGTAGTGCCTTTAAAACAGAAAACGGGAAAAGAAATGATTCGAGGATTACAAGAGATTTTTCAACAAGACGGTCGACGTCCCGTCCGCATTCAATCGGATCAAGGAAAAGAATTTACCAATCGAGAATTCTTACAGGCTTTTAAATCCATTCATTTCTCTACCACTCGTAATACGGACACCAAAGCCAGTATCGTGGAACGATTTCAGCGTACACTCAAAGCACGCATGTGGCGTTATTTCACTCGTCATAAAACCAGACGGTATTTAGAGGTCTTACCGGATTTAGTGTATGCTTACAATCACATTTATCATCGGAGTATCCAAAGAGCACCAGCTCAAGTGAATGCTTCTAATGTGTTAAAAGTCTGGAAAACTTTATATGGGAAATCAAATCGGAAACAGTTTCAGTTTAAAGAAGGAGATCAGGTACGCATCAGTAAAGCCAAACGCACATTTGAAAAAGGATATTTACCTAACTGGACCACAGAACTGTTTACCATTTCTAAAAGAGTTTCTGGAAGGTATCCTTACGTGTATAGAGTGCAAGATTATAACGGAGAGGAATTAGAAGGGACTTTTTACGAGAAAGAATTACAACAGATCATTAAACAAGACGACGTGTACGAAGTGGAGGAAATCTTGGGGTATAAAAAGCGACGCGTAGGGAAAAAAATCATTCAAGAAGTCAAAGTTCGGTGGAAAGGATATCCCCTTAGTTTCGATTCATGGATTCCCCAAACGGATCTCATCAAATAACTCCTCATTGGAAATTTTGTGGAGAGAATGTTCCTCGAGAAGAAATCGTTTATTTTGCACAATTATTTATCTGTGTTTCTCTCATCGTCACCAGTCTGGTCATGTTAGCTTTACACGATCCTAATCGAGAATATTGAATGGTATGTGTCAGTTCTTCAGTGGGTTATATCATGCCTAGTCCTACGATGATGCATCATACACCTACCCCTAAGAAGACCAAGAATGCACAGGGTTAATGTCTAAAAAAATAAATACACCACAGAGTATATAAAATGGGGAAACAACAAAGATTTTTTTTCATTTCTGATCTGACTAAGGACAGAGCAACATGGAATTTTTAAGCTCAGAGTATCGTTGGAAAATGCAAGAGCATACAGGTTCCACTAAAAAAGGAGAATGGATGAAAAACAAAGATGAATGTATCCAAGATTTCATGGATAAGAATCCTGGAGAAATAGGACTCAATGATGTGTACCTGTATAAGAGATTCAAATTACCGGACCATGAATGTGCACAACTCATAGTATTATTATTAGGGTCATGGGAACCCCAGAATCAGGAATTCAAATGGAAAGTAAAATACGTCTTGGCTCACAAAACAGAGGCACCTCCAAGGATCTGGATTCAAGGAAAATGGATGGAAGAAGTCCGAGATTGTATCAAAGATTATGTAAACAAAGTGCTCATAGAAGGATACGACATCATGGACTGTGCTTGTGAAACAGAATATTTGTACATGAGGAGAACTTTTCCTATTCAAAAAGAACTATGCCAAAGTATTCCATGTTTGTTATTTTAATGTTATTGTTGTTGTGAATTAAACCTAAGAAAAAAAAATTCTGGTGTTGTTGGTTTTTCCGCATCGACTAAAAATAGATATCCCAAGGTATATAAATCTTAGCTTTTAGTTCACTGTGCTCATTTTTCAATCATGCCTTCTGTGTGGAGAATGTCGTATTTTCTTCACCAAGAAAATAGTGCCTGTCCTCATTGCTATAGGCAGTTGAGAGAGATCAGCAGATTACATGAGTATGACAGTGACGATGACCTTATTGGTTGGTATTGGGGATGTAATGAATGTGGAGAACGTATACCTCACTGGGAAGTAGACGATCCCCCTAGTTTGTGGTATTGTCGCTGTGATTGGTGCCTGAAATATTACCTGTGGAAATATGGGGTTGATTTTATGATGCCACGTTGGGCTAAGCGCATGAGAAGAAATACCAAGATCGAGAGATGCCCCT